CGACACGCCTGTCCACATCTAAATCACATCATCATCATTCATCTCACTTCATCATTCCACCATGCATCTCTTCTTTTACTACTACCTCTTTTTGTCGTGCCACATACTTATTCCGCTACGCTTACCATTCCATCCCTAAGGTTCTGCCATGTTCTTTCCACATATTCTTTTCTGCCATCGATGGTGTCAAGCTTTTCGGCTACCCTCGTATGATATTTGTCCTTAGTATCCGCTTCTTGAAGCTTCCAGCTTCGGATGCGACAGACCGACTGTGGTTATGTTGCTGCCGTCCGGTAGCGCCAACCCGCGAACAAACCCCTAAATCTAGTAATTGCTAGATAGTGATCCGTTCCCAGGTCAGTACCCCTGAACACTCGTTTCCATCACCTGTTTTCGCAGTCGGTCATCCACCAGGAACAAATCAATCATACTTCTCTCATTCTTTCTTTCTCTAGTGTACATATAGATTTTCCTGTGATTAAACATAGTGTTTGTCACAAGAAGACCCTTTTCCTTGCATACAGCCAGTATAAGCTTGCCAGCATCATTAACCCTTTTATCGCCAAACTTTCCAAGCACCGATTCGTACCCTGGTCGAGCGATACCTACCCATCAGCACGATCAGCAGTCGCACTACTACAACCACTAGACCAACGAGGCAGTCATAACCATATATCACCAAATACAGGTAACACGTTGGCAACGGTGACGGAACGGCAACGTCGCATCTCCTAATTTTGTGCTGAAGTCAAATACGGCCATAAATTAAGGTATTCAAATCGATACAAATCGACAGCAGCGCTATTATTTTTGCAACGAAAATTAGCGGAACTACGTGAATATTCAGTACAGCAAGATTGGAAGAAAAATGACTTCCAATTTTTTTTAGATTTTGACATTTCTGATCAGCATGACAAGTTGCGAACATTGCGCTAAGTATCCTATTTGACGTCCGTATATTGGACGTCGTAAGCAGGTTGAAGCCACATTATATGCAAAATTGGCCACAGTGGACGTACAATTAGTTACTGGATGTATATACAGAATGGGTCCCACATATATGCAATAAATGAAACCACAAGTAATACTAGTCCGTAGAAGTGTAGAAAAATTAAATATTAAATTAAAACCCGTAAAATAAAAAAGTGAAATTTTCAAACAAAATAAATATTAAAATAAATTCAGTAAAAGTGAACACTCTGTTTAGACAACGTACCTTGACCCCTTGGAAGAGTGACAACGTTGCACGCGGGTGGCACGCCGTCAAAAGACACCGCTGTCGATATGTCGCAATACCAATAGTTTGCACTGCGTGGCAACGTCGCTTTTTAATGTTCAAGGATTCAAGTTCATTGAATCATTGACTTAGTGACCCAATTCTATAGAGTGTTCAAATTTGCTTAAAATTAAAACTCTACTTTTTGACCTAATTACTAATTTGACCGATTACGTTCATTTTTTTGTATATCGTCAGCAAAGGCGATAACAAGTATATGGTTTCATTTATTGCATATATCTGGGACCCATTCTGTATATAAATATGTATGGAGACTAGAAAATGTCACATAACTTCTTTTGTTTTCGTCAATAACAAAAATAGATTTTGATATTAGGATAGTTTAGGTATTAAAAATAAACACAATGTGAAATTAAGAAATATTTTTTATTATTATCAGTTCAAATATCGTATTTACATTTCTTTAAATGATTAAAAAGCACATTGTTTACAGAATAATAAAAATTCATAACTAAATCAGCGGCAGAACGATATGATTATATAAAAATAGTGAAGTTAATAAAACATAAGATACCGTACTACATTATTAAACTTAAAAAAATCTCATGTAAGCTTCCGTGCGCACAGCATTAAAATAACAGCTGTCAACTGTCAGATTTGACTTGTGACATTTGACATTGCGTGACAAGTGTTGCTGTGAGCACTTTGGAAAACGTACAAATTAGCAATGGCAACTTGCATACGACTGAAGATCATCGAACAAAATTGAAACTATTCATACCTATTTATTTACACGACTTTTACATTCGCAACATATGTGATAATATATCAAGTTTCTCGTCTTACAAAAAGAAATGCAAAATTAACGTGTATCCCTACAACGGTATTTTTTTCTACATAAATGCTCCACATAAACTCCTAGCAATTTACACGTATGTTACATCGCGCTGCCGCGCTCAGTGCCTCACTCAACGGGTGAATTATTTTCTTTCTCTCCATTCATTATACTTACGACATAATTAACAAATCATACACACTAAAGTATTGCGTTTCGAAAACGTCACAATTTACATAGTACTTACTAGTTTGGTGTTCGTAACCGAATTACAATTTAACTACGATAGGGGGAGTAACGGGGGGCCAGACACGGTTTTTGTGACATTTTTCTTAATTTAAAAAAAAATATTTCGACTAAACACAGTACAGAGTACGAATTAGATTGAGTAACGTGATTTTAATACTAATACTTTATACACGACGTCACTTAATCAAAAATAAGTCTTATTCCGTTTACGTTTAAAACAAAATACACTAAAAGATATAAAATAGACCCTGTCAATGTAACGATTTTAAGCTTTTCCCGTGTCATGCCCCCAAAACTCCATGTAAATGTCTCTAAAGCTCTGTATATGCATACTACGCTAAGGAGGACTACATTCGCTAGACTTCTCCCAGGCACACTGTCAACTCGACGCAACTATTTATTTTACTATATATAAACAGGAAATATCACCTGAATTATTGGCAGTAAATTTTGAACCTTTGATACGTGCTTTTTGAAAATAAATATATAGTAAAAAATGTCAATAGTTGGGAAAAATTTCAATATGGCATAAATTTATCAGAGTTCACTATTAATCAATATATCGTTACCTATAAAATTCAATAGATATTTATAATTTAAATCACTTATTGCATTTGCAATATATATAACCAGATGCATTAACAATTTATTTTATCTCATAACTGTGTTAACTCAAATTTTACAAAAGAAATCAATTTTATATTATTAACTGCTACAAATGAAATTAATTTTATATTGCATTTGTAATTCAAGCTGTAGGCTTAGATAAGGTAATTGAAGCATTTTCAAAGCAAATTTTATCCTTCAAACTAATGTACACTGTTTTCAGATTTTAGGAGGCTAAAAAGTATTTCTAAAACATTTGATAATGAAGTGTTTACTTGAATTATGTAATATTAGTTCTATTACAATCAACTTAATACTTACGAAAAACATTGTTTTCGAGTTAATCTGCTTAAGTCAAGCAGATTTTTTCGAAAAACAAAAGGTTTTTTGCTATAGTCATATTTCTTCAGGTAACGTTAAAATAAAAATTGACTGAGAAAGCGTTTACAAAATCGTCTTGGTCGAAAAAATATATTTTCAAATATTTTATTTCATTGGCACATATTGGTTTAATTATACTATTATGATTGTCTAATTTTGTAAAAAACTACCCAAACGCAAGACGATTTAAGAAAATCGCTTCGGAAACTGTAATAAGGGCACAGCCTCATCTAGCGTCTAGTTTGCGGCTGACAACATTGTCTGAGTGAACTCCCATGGAGTTGGACATTGATAGCAGTTTGCGGTTTCGCAGAAAACAGGCAGTCGGTTACAAACTTTACGCCACATGAGAACACGGCCTAACAAGACAATTTCAAGTTGCCAATGCGCCGGTCATCTACTTAAACTGCACCCTAACGTTATTATCGTGAGGGACCACTAAAAATTAACTAACAGGTTAATTTACTAGAATTTAGGCTAGACGGAGCCTAACTCCATTCTACTCTATCTACCCTTCTTTCGTACATTCAGATTAGATTAATCATAGTTTACTTAAAATTCATCGAATTCCCTATCACGTATAATATACAGTAGGACGGTCCCACACTTCATAAATTTGAGATCTGTTCGTTAAGACGTATCGGTTCAATTCGCATCCTATCACTGGTAGCGATCCATCACTCTCTTCACAAAGAAATAATAAAGACGCTGCAATATCGTTGAGTCAATGCAAGCGGTGCAAAATGGTTACAACGGAGCTTATAAAAATCGCCACAAAAACCTGTTTGAGCACCGTGGAAGGAATGTGTGCATAAGATTTAGTTTAGACAAGAACTATGTACAACCTAAAGTTTGTTCGGCGAGAGTTGATAAAAAGCAGGGTTCCTAAACTTATACAAATTAAGGTCCGCTAATTATTTTTGCTGTCCGCAAAAATTCTATGCTTGCGGCGATTACTTACGTCCAGACAGATTGTATGATACTGAAGCGACAGTCGCTATAGCGAGACATTTTCATAAATTATTAACTCTCGCCGAACAGACTTTAGTTCGGAACTGCTACGTTCTATTCAGACAAGCCTATTAAGATGAAGTTCACCACAGAAACCATCACATCACGTAGTATGTATCAGAGTTCACTCGTAGACTGTTAACGCTTAGTATAAATAAACATCTTCAAAATTTTTACCAAATTATGAGCATATATCCAGCATAAAAATCTTTTAAAATAACTCATCAATCTCTTCGATTATAGATATACATACATGGCACACTGCTCTGTTCATATATATATTTATTACATATAAATCGTACACTCGATACCTATCAGTTTACCTTGTCACCATAGAATAATTGAATTATATGGATGGATATTACGTTAGAAGCTTAACAAGCGCTAATATAATATTAAAGTCGAAAGCAGTCGACGGATGGACAAAAGAAACAAAGAACAACTGAAGACTGAAACCGGCATTGGATGCCCGTTTATTTAAACTAGACGATGGTACTATCACGAAATTTTGGTCCACCGAAACGTACCAAGCGGATTTCGACTATCCCCATTAAGACTATAGGAATTAAACGTACTAACTAATAAGGTCCGCGTCGGACGTGCGTACGAACGCGGTGCGTGCGTGTACGTACAAAGGAACAAGAGTAACAGATTCAACTAAACGGTTCACGTCGGTGGCGTTCACTTGATGGAGACGTGTCGCGTCTCCGGGTGCAGACAAATACCCTCGACGGTGAAGATGGACACCTCTGTAACAAAATATTTTGATTGAAAAAGGTACACCATTTTTTTCTAGCACATTAATTATCGCTTTCTTAAAAGCATATCAATTAATCTCGCTACAATTCGATATCTTCTAAAATAAAATAGGACAAATCAAGCTCGTGATTTATAAAATTTTTTGGGGGACGCCTATGTAAGCCACCGCTTGACTTTTAATAGGTTGTAATGAATGAATGAACTTACTCATCATAGGGTAGGTTAGGTAGAATACGAGTGGGTTTCTCTTAAGCTGAAAGCACATTTGTTAAGACCTCATTTACTGATGGCCACGCACATACGCACTTACGCGCCGCCGTATGCAAATTATTTGCATTGCCAATAACTTTTGCAATTTTTCCCAACCACTGGCATGAAATACTACAGTGACAGTTTCGCTAGCTATTTTTAATTAAATTCTCTTCTTCAGATGAGTTATTTTTGTCAACACCATCGTCGTCGGTTTCAGACTAATATGATTTATTGGTACCAATTTGTTTCACAACTTTTATCGGAATTTTAATTTCGTTGCAGCATTTTTCCGCCAATCTCAAACCGCAGCGTACACTTAATATGTCAGTTTAAGGATTTATCTTCATTCCATTCCTCTGCTTGCCTTTTATTACATTCATACTGCTAAAGGGTCTCTCACCATGGGCATAGAAATGCATAAATGTTAATTATAAAAGTCAAGTCACGCAAGTTTGTCTGACAAGTCCTTGTTGCCTCCTACACAGTAAAAATAAAAAATACTCTTGAAATGAAGTAAAAATATATTTCGAAACGAAAGTCGAAAGCACCAGTTTTAGTGGAAAATCCACTAAGTAGGCCATTAAACGACACTGATTTAGTGGAAAATCCACTAAGTTGGCAAAATTTGACTACACTGAGTATTAGCACGCGCTAAACGCTCCGCATTAAGTGACGTCATCAGCATGCCTCTTTTAATATTCGGATACCTACCGCATTTTGTAAAACACGGCGCGTACGGTGCGACTGCAATATGCTTTTTGTATTTTCCCCACCCCCCCAAAAAAAAAAAAAATTTTTTTCCCCCAAAAAAAATATTTTTGAGTTTCATATATTTCATACAACGAACTCTAAAATGCGGCACGTATGGCACGTGCGGTACGTACGGTGCTGACAAATGTGCGTTCAGCTTAAACTCGTACGGAGAGGTCACTCACACAGCTAAAGGCGTGCAGTCGGGTTACAACAGCCCAGCTTAGCGTGTACATACTTAGTCATCGAGCAAGTTGCGCACTCGCGCCGTTACCGTGGCTGTGCGTTTATGTACACAATGTGGCGATAATTTGCCGGGTAGGTTGCGGACGCAGGATGCAGCGGGGTAGCTGTGCGCTTGTGCACAGTGCGCTATGACTCACTGTCGGACAAGTCGCGCACGCAGGCAGTGTATGCGTGTGCGTGTGCGTGCGTGCGTGCGTGCGTGCGTGCGTGCGTGCGTGCGTGCGTGCGTGGGTGTGTGTGTGTGTGTGTGTGTGTGTGTGTGATTTTTTCTTAATTATGTTTGTGTGTGTGTAGAGTGCGCTACGACTCACCATCTGGAGATCGCGCATGCAGGCAGCGCATGTGTGTGTGTGTGAGTGTGCAGATTGCGCTGACTTACCGTCGGGCAGGTCACGCACGCGCGGCATTAGCGGCGCGAAGTAGGCGTGGTGCGCGGCACGCTCGGCGGGCAGACGGCGCGCGGGCTCGGGCTGCAACAGAGCGGCGGCCAGGCGCTCGGCGTCGCGGCCCGCGTCGCGTGTGTATGTATGAGTGTGCAGAGTGCGCTGACTCACCGTCGGACAGGTATGGCACGCGCGGCGGTAGCGGCGCGAAGTAGGCGTGGTGCGCGGCGCGCTCGCCGAGCAGGCGGCGCGCGGGTTCGGGCTGCAGCAGCGCGGCCACCAGGCGCTCGGCGTGCGTGCGTGTGTATGAGTGTGCAGAATGCGCTGACTCACCGTCGGGCAGGTCACGCACGCGCGGCGGTAGCGGCGCGAAGTAGGCGTGGTGCGCGGCGCGCTCGCCGGGCAGGCGGCGCGCGGGCTCGGGCTGCAGCAGCGCGGCGACCAGGCGCTCGGCGTCGCGTGCGTGTGTATGAGTGTGCAGAATGCGCTGACTCACCGTCGGGCAGGTCACGCACGCGCGGCGGTAGCGGCGCGAAGTAGGCGTGGTGCGCGGCGCGCTGGGCAGGCAGGCGGCGCGCGGGCTCGGGCTGCAGCAGCGCGGCGGCCAGACGCTCAGCGTCGCGGCCCGCGTCGCGCAGGCGCGGCCAGGCGGCGCCCAGAGCACGCGCCGGCGCCGCGCCCCAGCGCGCCACGTGCTCGCGCAGCGCCGGCAGCCGCGACACGCCCGGCCAGCTCTCCTCCGTCGGCGTGCCCACCACCTGCACACACGTCTCGTTTAACTACTGTTGTCGCCCATACCACAACAATATAGGTACACGGTTATTTTTCAAAAATTAGCCAAACTTTAAATTTATGTTCAAATATATAAATAATGATATACCGTTATTGCAGTTTTTGAAATTATCCCAAATTCAATGGGATTTATGGGCAACAACGTTTTTGTCTACCAATCAACCCGTACGGATGGGTGGCATCATGCGCAGTAAAATCAGTTAAAATAATTCATTACCACACATTTTAAATTTAAAAGGTAAAAAGGACAGAAGATATAAGATTTTTTCTTAATTAATTTTTCTTCACCATTTGCCTATATATACTTACTCCGAAACTTCTCTGCAAATTTCGCCTATTATTGCAAAATAACCTAATATATTATATAAAATATAAAATAACCTAATATATATAAATATATTAGAGTTACGTTTAGAATAAGGGCTTTCTCCAAAAACTTCTACGTATCACAGTTTAAATAGAGTGTAACAGTTGTGAAACGAATGTACTTGTCAAAAAGAATGAAGGCCGGCCTTGCATGGCGGTGTGCGATACGACCGTGTGCCAGCGCACTCCACTATGTTTGCTGCACACTAGGTACACGCGGTTGACGCGAGCATGTTTTATAATACTCAAAAACTCATTTAATTTTAAGTGCCGTTTTCAGAAAGTATAATATCTGTAATGGTGACTTACTCTTATAATCATATAAGTTATTAAGTCTAATGACGGCTTTGCTTATGTTTCCCTTATTCTTTTTTGATAAAATTGTACGTCCGAATGCACTACATACTTAAACTTAACAATCCAAAACTAAATTATACCTATAAAATGTCACGAAAATATTTGACAGTGCAACACTCGTAAATGTACTCGAAATTTTTTGTAGTAATATAAGAATGATCTTACTCAATAAATGTTTTTAACTTATAAGTAAGTACATAATGTTAAAAATAAAAATGAATATGGATATATCCAAAATTATTTTATTCCCTATTTCGTGATAGCCATATGGCACGTTTAGATTATCGCCACGAGCACCTCGCCTAGTAATTCGTTATTCGTCGAGGAGTATGACATGTTTACACATTCATCTGTATCATACATATTCAGATGAAATGCATCTCATTGCAACGACTTTAAGTCTATTTGATGTTTATAGACTCACAAAAAATTTTTGGAGGGTGTGGAGCCCCTCCCCCACTAGGTGCAGAGCTGGTAAGATATGGAAGGGATGTTATGGAGGCGACAGATGCAGATGGCTCAGTGGCTCAGGACTGTTGTCTTGTGTCATCCCCTTGTAGGAGACCAATATTTCTCCAGGGGGCTTGTGAGAAGGGCTTGATGAAATTTTTTTTCATAGATATTTATTTAAAAATGATTTCTAGGAACCGATATCACGGGTTCTCCTTGATAAAGCGCTATAAAAATAGTAGATTCTCCAATATATAGAATATATAGGATAGTTACTCCAATCCACCACAGTAGGTAGGTATTATTACTATCATTATTTTAACCCTTCAATCCCCATAAAATTCCCATGCAGTCGCATGCGCCTGGCAAATCCCGAGCGGTCGCATGCGACCGCACCCACCCACAGCACTTAAAACCATCAAAACTTTTATTTAGAGACTACTTTTCTGCGAAAAGTTTGGCATTGTAAAATCTATTCAAAATTCTCTATCCTGTGGTCTAAACAAAAGTCAGGTTTTACTTCATTACAAAAAGATTTTATTGTATTTTGATAACAAAAAAAAAATACGAAGCGGATATGTCGGCAGCGTGAAAATCACAATTATTTTAATATATTACTCGAAATTATTTGCGTAAACAGATAAATTATATTCAATATTATAATAAAACACTAATAAAACACTAGAAAAGTCCAAAAATCAATACAACAACATCCAAATGAAAATTCCACTAGAGCAGGTGTCGGCAACCTGAGGCTCGCGAGCCACATGCGGCTCATTGGATGTGAAGCTGCGTCTCTTTAGTTTCATACGCAAATATTAATTATTTTATAAAAAAGAAACATTTTAAGATCGTTCTGAATTGATTAACGAGTATGAGGCACCATTTCTATCTCTTAGCCACTTGTACTCACTTTTCACCGCACCCACACACACGAAATCCACACTCGGCCATTTGAAGTTGATACTGCATTTCTAGTAAAGCAAATGATCGATTTAAAAAATAAAGCTTCGTGGAGTGGAAAATTTACACAGTTGAAAAGCAAGTTGGAAGAGTTGGAGGTTCAGAAATGTATGTACGTAACGCAACAAAAATGGACAGTTTTAAAAGAAATGCCTCGAGTTGAGGCTCTTATATTCGACGCATGGAATAGTCTTCAAGATTGCTACAGTGAGGGGTGAGTTGGCAATTTTAAGGCTGACTATCTTCGGATCGAAATATTCGTGCGAGCAAGCGTTCTCTCTCTTACATGAATATAATTAAACCAACTAACAAATGATAATTTCGTACGTAAAGTTAATGTTGTACGACTTACAATGTAACTATATAAATGTTTAATAGTTTTATTTATTATTTTAATAATAAGTGATTATCTAATAATACCATATATTTATATATATATATATATATATATATATATATATATATATATATATATATATATATATATATATATATATAATCTAATAAATAGATAATAATAATAGAAATTACATTCTAATTTGTTGTGAAAAAACACTACTTTTATTAGATGAATAAATTTTTTTTTCTTATGAGTAAACAGATAAGTTTTTTTTTATCAAAAACTTTATTTATAGAAGTAGGTACTAATTATGGTTTTTTCTTACTTTAAAAACTTTAAAATTTGGTTAATTGTAATTTTTAACTCTTCCGACTTAAAAGGTTGTCGAACCCTGCACTAGAGGATAGAACATTTCATATTGATTCTATAATGCCAAACTTCTTCATATAAAAGTAGTCTCTAACCATAAGTATTTATGGGTTAAAGTAATGTGGGTGGGTGCGGTCAAATTTGACCTCTTGAATTTTGACGAAATAGCGAAGCCGTCAAATTTGGACGCTTTGCGTTTGAGAGGTTATATTTTTTTTATAAGAAAAAAGAGTTCACGGGTTAAACGAATAATGACGAATATGTAAACACCGATACGAATATACCTACACACGTTTTGCTTTTACTCGTGCCAAAAACCGACATCGAGTAGAGAACAGGCGAATGCCGGGGCCGAGTAGCAAGAACACACGAACAAGGCGTTTACGTGCTCGTACTCATGTCTAGTCATCTGTGCTCGGCGAGTATCTAAACTTTGCATTAACATATTTGCGACGCGACAGCTTACATAGTAAATACCTACATAGGCGGCGACATCTATAATCACTCATTCGGCATCGGTAATCTGGTTGACATCAAAAATACCATGTCAGCCAGATTACCTTTCACCGACAATTCAGATAAAAACTGTGAATCATGCGGACACGCGCGTGGGCGGATGCTGGCACGGTAAATATATCTGACAGATCCTTTTACGAACCCCGCGAGACGAAATACGGTGATAAATTCTCTTAAGCTGCCACTACACGGCTGTAACTCACGTAAAGTTTTACAGTAAGGTTGAGAGCTTGAATTTTTATCTACCTGATAAAACATTTTTTTACATTTCAAAAGGGTGGTCGAGAGCTCAATCGAAATTTCAATTCAAAAATCTCTTTAAAATTTGATTTCATTCAATTATTTGCAAACATATTTATATCGCGACAAAATTCGAGATACCATCCATACCATCTGGATGATTGGCGGTCCACCACAATGTGATTTGCAAAATGTTTTCTTCCTCGCACAACTTCCTTATGGAATAAGTCGCCTGAATTGGGGGATGGTGGGTGGTGGGGAGTAGGGGGATCCACCCCTCCACTCGTAGTTTTTTTAGAAATTTTTAAAATCTCATTTTGAGGTTATTTTTCGTAATATTTTTGATAATATAAACCTGATTTTTGGGGGGAGAAAGTTGGGAGAGGGATGCCCCACGCCACTCAACGCGGCGCAGTTGAAGGAAGCACGATCGACAAAGCCCTGCTTAGCGGGGCTCTTACTTCTGAATGGTTTATTATAAGATAACCACGAATGGGATGGCGGGGTCTATTCCTTTGCTTCGCTCGCTCACTCGACCCCGCCATCCCTTTCTAACCTAACCTATCCGAGTCAGGCTGCCTAATGCCCGGTTTCTGAAGTTTCCAGTTATATTCCCATTAGCTATTGATTCAATAAAGTTATCTATAAGATATCAGTCGGTTAACTGTCATTGCGTTTCTGAATACCAAACCAACTGTTCAACAACTATGAAACAAATAACAAGTTCCATAATTTGCCACTAGATGGGTGTTTTTCGACTCATCGAAGACATCGAGTCTAAAATTGGTTTTTTTATTTCAATTCTTCATTTATACTAGTATTATTCATAAAATATTATTTTTTGAGGCTAAATAAGTGAATATTTTAACTTTAAGTTTTAGCAATATATTAAGATAATTCAATATTTATCAGAGACTCTATGGACGACATCATTGTACTGTCAAATTGTTTAAAAAGAATACATCATACTCATTGTTTTTATTTTGCGCGTGGTTTGTTTTTTCTCTTTCCGATTTAAGTTTAGTAGTTTTATCTTTTAAACATTATGGAGTCTGGCAAACGTAGTAGAAATTTTACGGAAAGAGAGAAGATGCTTCTAATTGAAGTAGCCAAAGAATTTGTGGCTACAATTGACAACAAAAAGACGGACGGGACTACTGTTGAGGCCAAGAAGCAAGCTTGGATAGCGTTGACAAATAAATATAATGCTCTTTCTGAAACGGGAATCAGAACAGAAAAACAATTGCATGCGTTATACGACAATTTAAAAAAAAAGCAAGAAAAAATATAAGCGATGATAAGGTAGATCATATCCTACTTATTTTTGTTTGAACTAATAAACTTTTTTATTATACAAAGTGCGAAGGAACTTTACTGTACAAGCTGTAGTATTACTTTGTAGTGTGTTAATAATATACATCATTATATTCTACGACCTATTTCATGGGCACAGTTATTGCCTTGGAGTATTTACAATAATTATTTATTCTCATATAAAGTTATGCAATGGTATCCGACAAGTATGTAATGTAGAACCTTAAATTTTAATTTCAGTCCGAGCTGTACAAGACAGGAGGTGGAACATTTTGCCCTAAGACAACTGCAGTCGATGAAAAGGTTGTGGCCTTATTACCTCCACAATTTAAACCATTATCTAATGATTTTGACTCATCAGCACCATATTACACCATAGGTATGTAAGTTTAGTGTTTTTCTAACATCATATTACATCGAGAATTTAGCATTTATTGAGCATGCTTTTACCTGATGTTTTGGTTAAATTCTTCTTATATCCACTATTTCAGCATAGGGCTATACATAACCTGAGCAATTAAAATTATCAATGTAAATTTACAGGGAAAAAATTAGTTTAAATATAATCAAACTTACTAATAATTTCATGTGAAATAGAATAAAGATAATGAAACAAAATATAATTAAATAATCATTTATTTAATGTGGTTTAAGTACCCATGCACCACTTTCTGAATATAGATTTATCTGTACAATCATCAGCTACAGAAATAGAAATAGAAACTTATTTATTCAATACAGATTATAAATAATACTTATTAAAAGTCACTTTTTTCATTTACCACTGGTTCGCAAAAAACACCTCTGTCCTGGGAAAAATTGGCAAGAAACCCAGCGGGACTATTTTTTTTAAATAATAAAATTACACATAACACAACAGTGACTGATTTTTGCAATTTATTCATTACAGATATTGTTGAGATACAACAGCTAAACGATACGCAAGATTCTTCTCAAGAAGTATTGGGTGCAAAAGAAGATTCTGTGCATCAACTTCAACAAGTTAAAGGTTCCAAAAGAAGGACTTCACCTCTTCTGGTATCTGACATCACACCGAAAAAAAAGATTTGTTTAACTGAAACAAAAAAGAAAAATATAAATAGCATTAGTGCTTCAATAATAAAAAAGAAAAAACCAGAAGCAAATTAATGAAGATACCATAACAACGAAAAAAATTAGAAATATTGGAGGTTCAACTTCAAAATGAACATATGAAATTAGAAAAAAAAACAAAATTTTACTGGATCTTGATATTGAGTTAAAGCGGAATCTTTTAGAAAATTCAAAAACGGACTTAGAATTAAAAAAAGAATCTTTTAGAAAATTCAAAAATGGACTTAGAATTAAAAAAAGAAGAATTTTAATTTATAACGGCCAACATATAATAAATTAAAATTCTTATTTTAAATCCTAAGTCCATTTTTGCACTTTGTAAAAGATTTTCTTTAGCGCTCTATATCAAAATCCAGTAATTTTTTTATATTTTTGTTAGTCGATGACTTCATATTGATGTTGAATCTTCAATATTTGTAATGTTTTGGTGTTTATTAATAAACTCTTGTTTATAAATTCTATTCTATTTTACATGGCCAAAGTATAATAAATTAAAATTCTTATAAAGACCATTTTTGCATTTTGTAAAAGATTTGTTAAAGTTATATCAAAATACAGTAATTTTTTTGTTTTTGTTATTTGATAATTTCATATTGATGTTGCATCATCAATATTTGTAATGTTTTGGTTTTTATTAATTAAAACTCTTGTTTATAAATTCTATTCTCTATATTTTTACATGGCCAAAGTATAATAAATTCATTTAGTTTTATATTAGTATTTTGTTATAGTTTTTATTTATTAAAATTCTCGTTTATATATTATATTCACTATATTTTTACTAGAAATACAAATAAAATATACATACACAAATTTGTTTTTATTAACATAATAGATTATTGATACATGGTAGCAATGCTGCAGATATATTATAATTATAGCACGAATAGGTCAGTTCAACTGGGGAAAGACATGCCCTCACCGAATACTAGTTTGAATTAACAGCTAAATATGCTGCTGTTTCGTTTGGTGAGCATTGCGAAATTGCTCTGAAATAAAGCGGAGACCCTTTAGGCATTCCATCTTACTCCTCAACGATGAAAATGCATCTGCATTTTGATTCTTAATAGAGTATAGATGCAGATGTCTAGGGGCCCCGGTATCCACTTACTATCAGGTAGACCATATATGCTCCTTTGCTTTTTCTGTTCCTTTATTACATTCGACATTGTGTAAATTGAGCTTTAGAGATATTAACAAAAGAAAAATTTTACCAACCTAAAATATTGTTCCACCAATAAACGACGAAAATGGTTCCCTTCACAGGGAAGAGGTTGTTCAATTGATTCTGTAATATCTTCTTCCGAAGCGGAATCAATTGCCAGAGTATCATTTTGCTGTAGAGCTATATTGTGTAACACAGCTGTTGCAACAACACAGCTAACGTGTGATCCAATTTTAACCTTAATTTTTGAGAAAGGCATGGAAATCTTCTTTTCCACACACCAAATGTCCTTTCAACTGTATTTCTGGTCTTGATTTGTGCTTCATTGTAGAGTTTTTCTGCATTTGTAGCTGGGTTTAAAAATGGTGTCATCATGTAGCGTCCACAAGGATATGCACTATCTCCAAGGAGGTAACCATCTATCTCGTTGTTATTCAGGCGTGCTCGAAGGAATGAGTTATTAAAAACTGTACTGTCATGTGTTGATCCATGCCAGCGGGCATCTATGTCACGAATTTGCAACTTTGCATCACACACAACTTGTACATTAATAGAAAAAAAAACCTTTTCTATTTCTAAATAATTCTGCTTGCTCACCTCCAGGAGATTGAATTGGTATGTGTGATCCATCTACACAACCAATTACATTTGGAAATCCTGCGATATCAAAAAATTGTGCTTTTACTTCTCTTAGGTCTACAACATTTGGCATACTTATATAACTCCTTGCTAGTTTGGCTATTTCCTTGCTTACTTTATATACCACTCTGGATACAGTAGTTTTGTGAACATTAATGTCATCACCAATTACTATTTGGAAAGTACCGGTAGCATAAAATCGTAATGCTTATGAAAATTTGTTCTAACACAGACAATGTATACTTCCGATGCATAATGGGTGCTAGAGCAGAGCTGATGGTATCACTTAGGTGTATCACAGTATTCTTATCAAAGCGATATCTCAATTGAAATTCTTCATCCGTAAACATTTCGAAAGGATTTCTCCTATGTCTTAAGTTTCTGGGTACTGATATACTAGAAATAAACTCCAGTACTTCCAAATCAGACTCGGAAGAGCTACTCGTATTCATTGCACTTCTAATTTTTTCCCTTATTTAAGTACTTAGCGCTCACTGGCAATTTATTTTAATAATAACACGATATAACCTAAAAGTTGATGCAGTTTGCTTTAATTTAAACGTCAAATAAAGTTATGGAACCGATAAACGGCACTGATTGGCCAGTTAAATTAAACTTAGCTTAAACGGAGTTTATCTTCCATTGCGATGTTCAGAAACGCATTTTCATAAGTTATCGAACCAATAGCGCTAACGAATAGATAAACTGCCGATAAAAGTACCTCAGAAACCGGCCATAAGTCCCGAGTTCGTTCCGCTCGCTCTAACAATCAATAAAACACCTATATATTAACTTTTATAATTACTTTTAATTATAAACATAATTTATAGCTACCACCATTTGTAAAAAAAAATCCAAAGGGTAGCGAAGTCGTCGAAAAACAGGTGGAGGCAGATAAAAACGCCAGGGAGCACATTCACGTAAATTCGGAAGCAATGACGTAAAATATATGTCATTGTCAACAAATTGGCCGGCGTAGCGATCCATTTTACTCATTTTGGGATGACGTTGACAGATACAACGTCAAAAACGTTAGAATTTAGTTAAATGTACGTTCTATTTAGATTCGTAATTCACCTATTTAAAAAAAATTAAAAATACTTACGATATATATATATATATATATATATATATATATATATATATATATATACACTATACGACGCTGCTCCGGCAGCAACAATCGTATGTGGATGCTTCAGATAAACCTCCTTGACCCCCCCCCTCCCCCACAGTGACAGAATCCTCAACGACTACCACCAGCTATTATCCCGGAACGAAACAACTTAAGGACCTTCAAAAAAAGAGCCTACTCTTTTTAAAAGGCTGGCAACGCATCTGTAATTCCCCTAGTGTTGCAGTTGTTCATGGACGGTGACACCTCTCATATAAAGAAAGCTCTCTTTTGTTAAAATTATCACAAAATACCAACTACACTAAGTTATAAATGCCTTCTTTTGAAACGACTGCTAGCGCTAGAATTTAAATATTTTTTCTCCTCTAATTTGATTGTTTCTGGGATCTATATCTAAAAGTAATACAAGCAATTATTTTCGACCGACAATACATTTGAATTAATTACGAGTTAGAAGTTTAAACACAAAAACTTACCTTGAATATTTTTTCAAGTTGATCGTGTGTATCCCGAACGCCAGGAAAGGTGGGTACACCGCACAACATCTCAACAAATATACAGCCAACTCCCCACATGTCCAAAGACGTCGAATACTCCGTGCTACCTAGCAGGACATCTAAACAGACAATTTTTTTAAATTAAAAACTACCGACGATATAAAAATGGTATCTATGAACAGACCCACAGATTGTACGAGATTCGACATCACTATTACAACAGATAAATGTAATCTAAATTTGTCAAAGTAAAGATTTAAAAAATTCTCAAACATGAGAATTTATCATTTTTTTATAGGATAGGGTGACAAATGAGCACAAAGTCCACCTGATGGTAAGTGGCTGCTGTGGCTCTTAGATATCTACATTTATCCTCGATTACGAATCAAAATGCAAATGCAGATGCGTTGTGGTCTAAACAAAAGTCAGTTACTCTATGTATTTTATTTTTATTCTCCTCTCAATTTACGACATTTGCCAACCATACGAAAATGGCGCAATTTTACCGTAGATTAAAAATAAAAATTCATAGAGTAACTGACTTTTGTTTAGACTGTAGAATAGAGAATTACCTATAGATTCTATAATGCCAAACTTCTTTACAGAAAAGTAGTCTATAAATATAAGTTTTAATAGTTTAAAGTGCTGTGGGTGGGTGCGGTCGCATTCGACCCCATACATTAAAAATTAAGCATAATTAAATAGTAATAAATAATATAGTGTTTTGGCGTCTAGTGAGTTATATACATACATTTAACTTAAACAATATTTTTAACTATTTAAAAATAACACGTTGTGAGACAAATTACACGGAAGTAGTCCGTCTTATAGTAACTAATAAAAACAACAAACCTGGCGGCCTGTACCACAGCGTGACAACTTCGTGTGAGTACGTGTGACTTGGGACAGATTTCGCTCGTGCGAGCCCGAAGTCAGCCAGCTTCAGCTCGCCGTGAGAGCTTATTAGGAGATTTTGCGGCTTGACGTCTCTGTTGGAAAAACACGAAAGATTAGTATTACCTACACACATATTATTTAAAACACTTTGAATAAGTCTATTAAAATATATTTCTTGTTACAAAATAATTCCGTACGTAAAATTAAAACTCTAATTTGCAAATAGTCACCCAAAAGTACAATTATTTCAAATTAATAATCTTTCATATTTAGTTGATTCAGAAGCGGCATAATAGGTTTTGGATTTTGCCTGAAAAAGCTTAATACGTCAACTATAACTGCGACATTCCTGAATTCCTAGAATAAATCTAGTTGTTTTGGTTAAGGACTAGATAATAATTACATTAATGTTTACACGCTTAAGAAGCTACACTACTGTTACTAAAATCATAACCTTTTAATATTATTTGAAGTAAATTGATATATGGAAGATACCTGTGTAATATTCGTCTTCTATGGCAGTAGGAAAGACCGCGTAGCAATTGGAACATAAATAACCTCACGTTGTGGTGATTGAGACCGCCTGGATGCCTTTCCATGTACTGTGATAAGTCCGTGTCCTATGAAACAAATAGCGATTAAAACTTGTAATTTGTTTTAATACAATAATTTTAAATATACGTGAAATTAAACAATTGATTAATAAGTGACAAACTTTAAAATATATGGTGCATAAAAATTTTAAGTGTGTAGGTTTCTAACGATCTATCGGAGCCGCGCTGTATTTGAAAGACCAAACTAGACAACCGAGAGGCTGCAGTTTGAATAGAATATTCGTAAGGAAAATTGACGGAATCGTCATCCTGTATTCCCTTGTTTTCTCCTCAAAAAAGGACCATTTTTTTTTCAAGAGCAATTAAAAAGGATTGTAGCTATATCTACATCTTTTTCTTCTTTTTCTATTTGTTAAATTTATAAACCGGATGACTAATAACGGGGAAATAACTTCACAGTTTTAATAAATTTAGAAGAATTTAAAAGTAATTTATTTATGTAAATAAAAACAAAAATGACAATGGAAGACATAGTTTGTATCTTAAAATATTTGCTCTTGTTTAATTATTTGGGTGAAAACAGAGGAATACGTTTCTTTGGACTAAACTCCGCCCGAGTTTCCTCTTAAGGTCGAAAACACATGCATAAAGTAGACGTTTAAAATGTCTGAATAAAATATTATTTATAATTATATAATCGTAACACGACGCCAATACAAAGTACGAGCTTTAAAGAACATAAGCTGTAGATATTCCAATTCCATCTCCCGAGATCACAACATCAGATGGCCTGAACAATGTGATAATACTCAGCCTCATCACTCACATGAAAGGGAGCTTATCCTACAAGTTAATAATTAAGTTATATCTAATTAGTATATAGAGAACTAGCTTAATTGGCAGAGATGGAGGCTATTAATCGGAGTGATTACAGCATTCTTAGCAATTAACACGTCGGTCGCAATGATTTCAGAAAGCAGTTTTTTTTATTCAGCCCTTTACAAATATTTATTAAGAATGCGTTTGCCTTGCAATGTAAAGAAAAAAAACACAAATTATATGTAAAAAAAAAGAAAATATTCACTAACCACAAACTCGAACACAAACGTTAGCGTTTCCCTCGTGTGCACAATGTCATGCAACGTAACAATATTCGCGTGCTTCAGCTCCTTGAGGAGCGACGCTTCTCGTATTGCGGTGAACGGCGCACCCTCGTCCTCTTGCAGCCTGATTTCTTTCAACGCAACCACTTGCTGCGTTAAACTGTTACAGAATATTCACCAGTTATTGTCCGACTTGGAGCATTCATTTTTCAATCGTAGTATTATTTATTGTCTACAGTTTACTTTTACAGTATAATTTAGATCCATTGTGACTTAGAGGCTGGGCGCTCATCTCAAATTTAGGTGACGATCAAACCGAGGTCGAATACCGTGTTATTGGAGACATTAGTGCAATTTGAATTGCTGATTTAACCAGTGTTTTAAGATAGAAAAAATTGTGAGGAATCCCCTACATATCAAGACTTCGATGACATGTTTTTCGATACTCATTTAAAATAGTGGGGCGGACTTTTCACTTCCCGGTGCAAAACCATCTCTTAGAACTGAGCTAAAACTACCCCAAAAATCACGGAAACTTGGCCAAGCGGTTATCTCGCGATAGCAAAAGCTTTAAGTGTTTCTGATGAATGTTTGTTATGCAAGTATGTCAAAAAATGTTTACCCTCAAGTTCAAGAGGGTAATTCATTATGTTTAAGTGCACCATGACGAATTCTTTAATTTTTAGTTGAATCGGGTCATTTGAGCGACTAAGTTCACATTTTAAATTTGTGTGTTGTGAAAAGTTTACTGTAAGGTTATTCAATTATTGTGATCTTGTGTCTTAATTAAATAACTAAAGGTGCTTTAAAGCCAATAAAAATGCCATTAACACCAGCACAAGTTGCACAAGCAGTAGCATTAATTGACCAAGGGCTGACACAGCGTGAAGTTGCTATTGTGCTTAACGTACCACGGTCCTCAATGCAGTATTCACTGAAACGATACCAGGAGACAGGCCGCTACACCCGCAGGCCAGGCAGTGGGGGCGTAAGGTGCACATCGGCCCGGGACGATCGTTTTATTGTTATGGAGATTTTGAGAAACCGCTACCTGACCGCTGTTGAGATACGCCAGCGGCTCCAAATCGCAAGAGGCGTTAATGTTAGTGAGCGTACAGTGAGAAGACGAATGGAGGAAGTGAATTTAAAAGCTCGTAGACCAGCACGAGGTCCAGAACTTCTCAGACAGCACCGAGTAGCCCGACTTCAGTTCGCAAGAGAACATGTCAATTGGACCCACGAGCAATGGGCTAGAGTGTTGTTCACAGATGAGTGTCGAATAGCTTTACGTGCTCCAGACAGTCGAGAACGAGTGTGGAGAAAAAGAGGAGAGAGGTTTCTACCCATTAGCACCACCCAAACTGTGAGTTTCCATGGAGGCTCAATAATGGTATGGGGAGGTGTAAGTTCCGACGCACGTACAGAGTTGGTCATCGTCGATAATCGGCTTACAGCTACTCGATACATCGAGGAAGTTCTTCAGGAGCACGTAATGCCTTATTCGGGATTCATTGGACACGACCAATTCCTCCTCATGCACGATAATGCACGCCCGCACGTCGCACATTGTGTAGAGGAATATCTGGAAAAGGTTGGAATACAAAAATTACAGTAGCCAGCTCGTAGCCCAGACTTAAATCCAATTGAGCATGTATGGGGTATGCTCAAAAGAAAGATAAAGTCCAGCTCCAAACCGCCACAAACTCTAAATGAGCTCCGAAATGCAGCGCTGGCCGCTTGGGACAGCATACCGCAAGTTGATGTCAGAAACATCATTCAAAGCATGCCAGATCGAATGCAAGCGGTTATCAGGGCTAGAGGAGGAAACACCCGATATTAAAACTGATAGACAATAAAGAAACAGACTTAGTTTTTAACTTTGTAGTGTTTTTAAAGTGACAATGGAAAGATGTTAATTTTAGTGAAAACATGTTATCTTGAAAAGAAAAATTTCGGTGAAGTAAACATTAAATTTCTATGTTCTAAAACCATTAGAGACACTTATTGAATGCATCTACCCTTAATTTACTGTTAAAAAAACGTTTCAGTGCAAATAATCAGCAAATTCACGAGTGGCCAAGTTTCCGTGCCGGTGAGTGTATTAGTTGCACATAAGCCCTTTTTTATAGACTGAGGGTGACAAACGTGCACACAGTCCACCTGACAGTAAGTGAGTGCTGTGGCCCATAGACATCTACATCTACCCACGATTAAGAATTAAAATGCAGATGCGTTGTCACCCCTGAGGACTAAGATGGAATGCCTCGTTTCCAGTAAAAAAGGTCTCTGTATCTCTACACTCACTATAGGAAACACAGCAGTATTAAGCTGTTATTTTACGCTAGTATTCTGTGAGAGCGTGGTACTTCCCCGGTCGAGCCAACTCATTCGTGCTACAACCACAATATAGCTGCAGCGTGGCTCTACCATTGCACATGGTCAGTCAATACAGTTACCGAAAATAAAATATTTTTTATATGAAATACAATCTGCTGGCATGTATATACTGCTGCTACGTACTTTAAGTTATCGAAAACACAATTTTTTAAATTATTGAATAACTAGCTGACCCCGGCAGACGTTGTCCTGCCAGTGCATACCATAGGTTGTGTTCAGCAACGTTTTTTTTTTATTTTAGCGCATGCAATTTATTTTATTAATTGCCGCGCTTGATTAAAAAAAGCAAATATAATAAAAATGTGTTTCTAAGTTTTTTTTTATTTATAAATATAATCCTTCTCCATTGAAAAGTACATAGTGATTTTTTACAGCCGGGAAAAAATAGGGTGTAAAATATCAGTGCCATAGGCTTCTATTCCATATACCTGCTACACCCTTTTTTTTCAGACGGAAAAAAAAATTCATCCAGCATATACTAATTTTCATGGTGATCGATCAAATAGATTTTGAGTTAAACGATTTCATGTATACTAACATCCTCTTTTATATATAAAGAAGAAGAAGACAACATTACGAAGCAACATCACTTACAGTTAGTGATAAGAACCGGAAACCCAACCACTAATAACGAGAGGTTCCGATCGACGATTCGGCCTTCGATCCGACCGATCTTCATATACAAAGGAGATAAGGATAAGACATTAACTACTGCTTCTTGATATCTAATCAAGAAAATAGGACGATCCCAGAATCTATTAAGGCGTTTTACTGCATAACCTAACATTACCGTTTGCCGGGTTATATTCTTAGAGACAAAGAACTTTGAAAAGATTTAAATGAAAAGAGAACAATATGGTATTCGATTTCATATAGTCTAGATTTCTAGACTCACGTCCAAATTCAATGTATTTCGCATACATATTATCACTTTTGAATTTTATTTACTCAAACAGTTTATATAGAATATGCCAACAAGTGCTAATTAGCAAGTAGAGAACCCACTACAAAATATAAAGTTATAAAAATTCGACTCCTACAAAGCGAAGGTCCACGAAGAGTTTTAAAAAGTCTTATTTAAAAAAAGTATTTGCTAGATTTGCTTTTAATTTTTATTACGTAAGAGACTAGCGCGAACGAATTTAATACCTTGAAAGGTTATTAAATACTTTTCATTTCATTAACGAAAGTATAAATATTTTATGATAAATTTAAAAAAATAAGGTGTATTCAGAAATGTTACAGAAGGTAATAACTACCTTCTTAATTTATATTTCATAAAAGGTTAAAAAAATTCTAGCTCTTTATTTATGATGATAAAGTACATACATTTTTATGTGAATCTGCATATCCATTTGTATAAACATATAAAATATGCATAAAAAATGAAAACTACAAGAGAGAAAAATGCACAAAAACTTTCGTTGTAGATTTTTTGAAATTAATAATAGAGGTATTTCTTTAGTTGGAGATTGAACCCTGCGTGGGTAGTTGATGTGGGTTTGTAAGCAACTGCGTTCATCATTGCATAAATCGATGCGTTTAATTTTAACTCTTGTCTTGTCCCGTCGTTTCGGGCACTTTACACCACTCATGGTAACGAGAGCTTAAGACTCGAGTCTTTCTCGTGAGTTGTCTACCATATTATACGATTCATTACGCCAGGCACAAATTGGATCAGGATTTTACACAAATTAATTTAAAAAAATTAGATTGTTTTACTTTTTTATAAAAATGGAGTGACTAACGATATTATAATTAAAGTTCGTAATCGCCACGCGTAACACTTACATAAGCGAATCTCTAATTTTTCTTATAAAGCGTAAAGTTGACCTTAACCTTAAACCACATCACATCTGTATTTGAAAGTATTTTGTACTGATTTAAACGATTTGTGTCCGTTTATTGAATATTTTTATTGTTATATCTTGCATGTTGGCAAGTAGAGAAAAGATTGCTAATTAGCAATATGGGGGGGCAGCATTAGAGAATGAATCGATCCCAGAATTTCCGTGGGTGTAGTAAAATTATTAGACAGGGAAATTATTAGATTTTACTGCCTCCAATAGTTGGCGTAAATCTCATATTTATACGAGATCCAGTCAAACATGCGTTTGCCCAGTATATACACTATGGCAAAGAAGAATCTAACTCAAATGACAAACCTAAAATATCTAGACGACAACAATGCAATATTTAAGATGTTTTTTTATAAAATAAGGATGCCAAACGAGCATATAGTCCACTTCATTGTGAATGGATGCTGTGGCCCATAAACATATCTATGTACATCTATTTTCAATAAGAAGAATCAAAATGCAGATGCGTTAACACTAACTACTAAGATGGATTGCCTCGTTTTTAGTAAAAACGTCTCCGGTTTTCTACACTCACTCTAGTAGTCTGTTTGATAGAGCGTAGGTCTTCCACCGTTAAGCCGAGCCATTCCTGCCACAACCGTTTCATAGCTGCAGCGTGGCTCTGCCACGCATAAAATGATACAAAGATATTGCGATTGTTAATCAGACTACGATGCTTAAAATCATCGTGGTGTAGGAGAAATATATGCACCAGCAGATGGCTAACTGTATATTACGTATTAGGGATGTTTTTGTTAACATCAACTCGATACTATTGACATGCGATGAAAGAATACTTTTATTTTCTTTTCTTTTCTTTTATACTTTTTGTATTTAACCTGGTATGGTTTCTAAATAAAGTAACCTGAGGTATACGTAAAATACCCAGACTAGCGACGGGTAG